TTGAGGAGCCGCGAGCGCTGCGCCTGCGCGCTGCCCCCGCTCCGCCGGCACCGGCACCGGCACGGCCGCGGCCCGGCCCGAGGTGCTGAAGGACAGCTCCGCTCGGCCGGCCCGGCCCGGGACACTCCCCGGCTCACCAGCCGCAGCCCCGCCGGCGGCTTCGCACTCTGCCTCGTCCTCGTCCTCACCCCCACACGGCCGTCACCTTCACCCTCATTCATCACCTCATCCGCACCCTSAATCTCACCCTCTTCCTCATCCCTCCCCTCATCCTCACCCCCGCTTCACCCCCATAGTCCTTCTCATCCTCACCTCACCCTTGCCATAATCTTCACAATCACCCTCATCCCAACCCTTTAATCCTCATCCTCACCTCACCTCCATCCTCACCCTCACGGGCTGGTCTCGTCCCTATCCCCGATGTCAACAGGTCCCACTGGAGAGCGGCCATGAGGGCTTCGGCAGCAGCMACAGGCACGGTGCTGTCCCCTGAGAGCACAGCCTGGTGTCCCCTCACTGCCCACACACCCTCAGCCCAGCAAAGAGACCCCAGAGATTCCATTTCTGGGGGACTGGGAGAGAAATCTCACCGGGCAGCAGCTTCCAGAGACATCCCTTATCTGTGTCCCTAAATCCCTGTTAGGATGATTAATCCCCGAGGGACCATCAGCTCCCTGGGAGTGGAAAATAAACAGAGCAGCTGAGGGAGCTGGAGGGGCTCAGCCTGGGGAAAAGGAGGCTCAGAAGGGACCTTCTGGTTTTCCACAAGTCCCTAACAGGAGGGTGCAGGTGGGGAGGGTTTGGGCTCTGTTCCCGGGGAACAAGGGGAAACAGCCTCAAGTCGCACCAGGGGAGGTTTAAGTGGGATATTAGGGAAAATTTCTTCACTGAAATGGTGCTCGGGCATTGGAGCAGATGCCAAGGGAAGCAGTGAAGTCACATCCCTGAAAGTGGTCAAAATCATGTGGATGTGGCACTTGGGGACATGGGTTAGTGGTGGCCTTGGCAGTGCTAGGGGTGATGGTTGGGCTCAATGGTCTCAGAGAGCCACTGCAACTTAAATGATTCTATAATTCAATGGACGTGAAACCCCAGGGTACATAGAGCAGCAGACAGAGCCTGCTTGGAGGCTTCTGCTCCATCCACAAAGCCATCCTTGCCTTCAGCACTAACCCATCTGTGGGAATTGTTTCAGGTGATCCTATTTCTGGAGTTTTCCTCAAGCTCTGTCCCAAAGTGAACCAACCCCTTCAAGGCCACGAGGTGCTGAAGCTGGTTATCCAAGCTCCCCCGGGATGGTCCTGAGTGGGATCCTGCAGGCACAGGGAAAGACACCAGAGGATTTATCCTTCTCCTGTTTGTCATCCTAACCTGTGAGGGCAGCGAGCCCCCTGGGAAAGGGGCTCTCGTGGCGGGGCTGTCACCTGAGCTGGTGCCATTAGTCACAAAGGCCGTGGTGTGTGAGCTGCTCACGCTCCAACAGCTCGGCGCTGGCTGAGGCACTGAGGGAAGGAAATACCTGGTGCAGAGCCAGGAGAGGTTTTACAGCCGGAACGAACAAATGTTGAACATCACTGCGAGTGATATAAGGAGCTGCAACTCAGGCTGAAGGCTCGGCTCCTCTGAGCCGTGGCACAGACACCTGCAGCTCCCTCAGAGGATGCTTCCTTCTGGCTTTTCCACCCCATCCTGTCCTGCTTATCCCATGGCCCAGTTAGGAGGGGATGCTGGAATAGTTGAGAACACTATTCCTGCAGGTCTGCAGTTCCTGTGGTGGGTTTCTTTCCCTGGATGGTCTGTTCCTGCTCTGTGCACACAGGATCAGGGTTTGTGGAATTGCAGGATGGTTTGTGTTGGAAGAGATACTTAAACATCGCCTGGTCCATCCCTCTGCCATGAACAGGGACACCTTCCTCTATCCCAGTTGCTCCAAGCCCTGTCCAGCGTGGCCGTGGACAATTCCAGGGGTGGGGCAGCCACAGTTTCTCTGAGCAAGCTGTGCCAGGGCCTCCCCACCCTTATGGGGAAGAATTTCTTCCCAATATCCCATCTAATCCTGCCCTTTTCTTAATTTAAAGCCATTTCCCCTTGTCCCATCACTCCATCTCTTGGGGAGTGCTGCAGATGGGAGATCAGCACTGTCAGGTCTAGAAGAGCTGAGATAGTAACAGAGCCCCCCAAAGCCTTGTGCAGCCYGTTAATTATCAGCCCCTGAACCCTGCTGTCTTTTCTCTCTTATTTCCTGGCTATCCCCACAAATCCCCACTCATTCCCATCCTTTTTCAGCTTTTTCCACAGTCCCAGCACTCCTGGTCCTTTTGTGTACCTGGGTCTGAATGAAACCAGGAGGGAGGGGATGGGGAAGRTGTCCCGGGGAGCCACCCTGCAGGAATGCTCTGCCCATCCCTGACCTCGCCTTCCCTGTGCTCCCACAGGGCTGTGACAGGAGCTCATCACTCCCATTCCCATCAGGAGTGGTTTATCCAGCGCAGAGCCTGTGCTCAGCTCAGCATTGCCTGCTGAGATGAGGCTGCACCAGCCCTGTTTGCWGAGGGCTCCGTTTCCAGGGCACAGYGCTATTTCCACCCAGGAGTTTCCTCTGCCTGGGAAAACATTATCTGCTCCTCCCACTCCCTGCAAAACCAGCGGCTCACACATGACCCTTCAGGAGAGAACGGCTCTGCYCAGCCTTCCTCTGGCTTCTCTCCCTCTGCTGCTGCTGCTGGTATTCCAAGGGCAATGTTTTGTGGATGTTTTACTGCCAGTATGCCAAGGGAAATGTGGTTTATGGATATTTTTCCTACTCCAGGCAGATATGGACAGGCTGGCACTCAAGTCCTGCTTCCTCAGGTGGGAGAGACTGCTCTGCCAGCCTCTGCCCCAATGCTCAGGAGGATTCCCTGAGGAATTTGGAGTTTCCATGATTACCTGGGAGGCAGAGGCAGATCCTTGGTGGGAATAACCATCGACAAAGTCACCATCAGCAAAGGGTGTTTTCTCACCACCCACTGCGCCAGACAAGGCTTGGCCTGGTCTTGGCAAAGGGCTTCAACAATGTGTTTTTATGGGACTGTGATCACACCCGCAGTTTGTCATGGGGTGACAGTCCTGGCAAGCCCTGCTGCCCACCAGCTCCAGGTGGTAGGAGGTGAGGGACACCCCCAGCTGAGAGGGCACTGGGGTTTTGGGGAATCTCCCAAGGGATTTCTCCGGGTTGGGATGTTTTGTTGCAGACCAGACTGCAGCTGAGATGAGGCTGCAGCTGAGATGAGGCTGCAGCTGAGATGAGGTTGCTTCATACAGAGGGAGAGGCCCTGAGAGCTCCCCAGACAGCGAGTAAATCAAGGACAATCAGAGCTGATGGCCAAAGGTGGGGAAGGAGTGGACATACTGGACATTCTTGGAATGAGGCTGGGCAAGGCGGGGCAGCCTTTGGTGCCCAGTATCAGACATGAGTAGTGCCCTGCCAGAGCTGGCCATGAGACTCCCTTGTCCCCTCCTGAGAGGAGAATCTGAAGGGATTGCTGTTCCCAAAGGGAGAGCTCAGGAAGTCCCTCTCCAGGAGGCACCCCACAGTCTCACCCCGCCGGCACTCCCTGTCCGGTTCCCATTCACAAATCCCATTCCCGGCTGGCTCTGTGCCCTCCCGACCTCGGTGGCCTCGTGTGGCGCCGCTTGGCATTCGGAGGCATCCCGGGAATGATGACAGCAGTGTCCAGCCCTGCTGCTATATGGCCCTCCCGGGACAGCCCGGCTCGGCCCGCCAGGCTCCGGCTCCTCGRCAAACGGCTCCGATTGCTTCAGCTCCCGAACAATGGGTGCTGGCGGGGGCTCTCAGCCMGCCTCCAGGGCATGGGCTGCTTTTCACAGAATCATGGGATCACTGAGGTTGGAAAAGGCTTCCAAGGTCATCAAGTCCAACCTTTGATTGACCCCCATCTGGTCAACCAGTCCAGAGCACTGATTCCCATGTCCAGTCTTTCCCTGGACATCTCCAGGGATGGGGAGTCCACCACCTCCCTGGGCAATCCCTTCAATGCCTGCCCACCCTTTCCATGAAGAAATTCCTCCTTATGTCCAATCTGAACCTCCCCTGGCACACCTTGAGGCCGTTTCCTCTCATCCTGTCCCTTGTTCCCTAGGAGCAGAGCTCGACCCCACCCTGGCTGCTCTCTCCTGTCAGGGACTTGTGCAGAGCCAGAAGGTCCYTCTTGAGCTTCCTTTTCTGCAGGCTGAGCCCCCCCAAGCATTCCTGGTGCTCCAGACTCTTCCCTCTGTTCAGTGCCTGACCACCCTGTAGGGGAAGAACCTTTCCCTAATATCCAGCCTTACTCTTCCTGACAGCTCCAGCCATT